ATATCAAGAAAATAAAGATTCTCACCACTGGACTGATTGACAGCATCATAATGGATGGTAAAGAGACTGAGATTGTTCACAGTTTTGGCACTAGCAGCCAGTAAATTAAAGATGTATTGCAATGGGAAAGTCTGTGGTTAGAGACTACTCTAAAGTGCTAAAGTGCAAAGAATTCAGTCTGGAGACTAAAGTGCACCTGATATATGACATGATCTTTGCAATCACTTGCTATGCATCAGAGAGCTGGACAATAACTAGGGATGACAGAAGGAGAATTGATGTCTTTGAGCTGTGGTGTTGGAGAAGAGTATTGAATATACAATGGACTGCTAGGAAAAAAACCACAACACAGGTTTGTCCTGGAGAGAGTGAAGCCGTGCTGCACCTTGGAGGCAAAGATTCTGAAGCTTTGTCTGACATACTTTGGACATGTTTCAAGGAGGGACCAGTCCTTGGAGAAGGACATCAATTCTTGGGAGTATGGAGGGACAGTGCAGGAGAGGAAGACTCTCGATGAGATAGATTGACTCAGTGAATGGAGTAATGAGGGTAACTGTGTTGGAGATGGTGAGATTAGCACACGATAGGGCAGAGTTTAAGGCTGTTGTACATAGGGTCGCTATGAGTCACAGGTGACTGACTCATCAGCACATAACAACAACAACAGCAACAGATTCAAGATCATATTTTTGTTTCCCATGGATTTGATTTCGTTTTCTTAGCTTCAGCTTGAACTTGTATATGAGTAGTTGGTGATTGTTCCACAATCAGCACCTGGCCTATTGTTCACAGCAGTCGGGGACTTCAGCATCCCCCACCCAACACTGGACTGCCAAGAAAACAAACAGATTCATCCTGGAGAGGGTTAAACCGGGCTGTTCCTTGGAGGCAGGATTCTGAGGCTTCGTCTGACATACTTTGGACTTGTTATAAGGAGGGAGAGGTCCTTGGAGAGGGACATCATGTTGGGAGGGTGGAGGGACAACACAGAAGAGGAAGGCCCTCCATGAGGTGGATTGATTCAGTGACTGGGGTAATCAGGATGGGTGTGTCAGAGGCAGTGAGAATGGCACAGAATAGAGCAGAGCTTAGGGCTGTTGTACATAGGGTCGCTAAGAATCGCAAGCGACTCAACGGCACATAGCAACAACAACAACAGATATAAGTCCCTTATCTGACATGCCATTACCAAATACTTTTTCCAAGTCTGTGTATTCCCTTACTACCCTGTTGGAGATGTTTTTGGATGTGCGTGGGGATTCGATTCTTAGAAGGTCCCATTCATCTATTTAATGTTCTCTTGGTTGTAGATTTTTCAGGATACTTAGAAGACTGTTTATGTTGTGTATTAGGACTTTTAGAGTTCTTCCAAGCTTTTCTTTAATGAAATTTATAGTCCTTGGTTTTAGTCCTAAGAAAACCATACTAATATCACCATGTATAACATAATGTTTGATTTTTTGAAAAGTTTAGAAATCATTACTATAACTCTGTATAGAATTAATATATTCTGCAGAACATTATTGAATAATGTTTCTTTCATGGCCTTTTTCTGGCCATTGGATTAAATAACATTTAGAGTGAATCAGACTAACTTTGTTTTTGTTCTAATGGAACAACATTTAGGAAGGAAGACATTCAGTTACACACGCAGTAATAATGAAACATGAAAAGCCCAATCACTGGAAGAATATCACAAGTTTGAAAGCATCTTCCAGGGACACATAGACTAATTTTGGAAGACAATGAAAGATTGTGACAAAAATGGTATTTGAACTGTGACCAGAAAAATTAAGAGCAGTCAGTCATATGTGTCAGGTGAAAATGTGTTGATAGAGACATGCATCACTGCGATGTAGCTCTAAGAGAGAAAATGGAAAAGACTGAAAATTGGAGAGGTAGAGAGGACCACACAGGAAGGGTCTCATAAATGAAAAACTGTATTCTAGTACACAGAGAAGATTTAAAGCAGCTTAGCATAATTTCAAATGCATACTTCACAAATACTTACAGCTATAATTTAGACCATGGATACAAGATGTACAAGAACTAGAACTTTGAAATATAGATAGCTAACAGATTAACAGCTAAAGATTTAAAACAAAGCAGAATTTTCTTAATTAGGAAAGAGGTATGGAAAATTTCTATACATGTGTTTAGACTTAGGGTTTCTGCTATTTTTTTTTCTGATTAATTGTGCTGGGTTCTCTTGGAAACATTGGGATGTCTGCAGTGAGCCTTCTGATGTGGTGATTCTCCAAAATGTTTTCAGGTTATGAAAAATGAACATGATACATTTTATCAAGCTATTTTTAGTCAAATGAACTGCATCTGCATGACAAATATGTTTTCTAAATTTCATTCAAAAACTTAACTTATTCACTGAAGAGTCTTTACTGAAAGTTGATTAATAATTTCTTTTCAAGTGTTTTAACTCCACCTTTAAGTTTGTTTTCTATTCAAGAAGAGTCCATCTTTATTGGGACAACATTTTCTATTACTGTTGACTTGCCTTGCTTGTCATGTCACTTCATGTCAACAATTAAAAATACTGCTCAAAAATAGACTTAAAATCCATCCTGATGGATTTTTTTTGTTTGTCTGTGGTAATTTATAACTATATATGTTGTTGTTGTTGTTGACTACTGTCAAGTCGAGCATGACTCACAGCGACTCTATGAACAAAAGAGCTAAGTATCACCATTTATCCAAGTTCACAGAGTTTCCAGAGTCATGTGGTTTAGGAAGTAGATGGCACTCTTGCTTCCATACCTGTTTACAACTGCGAGCTCCACCAAACTCTGTCCACATTGGGAAACCATTCTGATATTTGATACCCCAATGGTACAAAGTTCAGCATTACAGCAACCCAGGTTACTTTATACTGAACATTGACAAAGGCTGATGTACAAAGAGTGTTCCTCCAGATATAACAGTACTGGTTTCACTTAGCAGTGGTTAAGTGCCGTCAAGTCGAATATGATTGAGAGTAAATTTTGCACAAAAGACCTAAACTCTGTTCTTTAACTAACATCATTTCTGTACAGAACTCTGTTCCAAGTACCATCATTTCTGTACATTTATAGAGTTTAGAGAGTTTGCAGAGTTTCCAGAGGCATCTAGTTTAGGAAGTGGATGCCACTCCTGCTTCCCAGCATAAATCAAAGTGGAAGCTCATCCAAACACTGCACATAATGGGTAGCCATTATGGTATTTGACAACACTATGGAACAGTGAGCAACATCACAGCAACACCAAGTTGTTCAGTTCAGAAAATAGACAAAAGATTGCTGTGTGATTCAACAAATACTCATTCGAAAATTACTGGCAGGGTTTTAATGCCAACACCTTTGAGCAGACCTCCACTCTGGGCAAAGGCTCAAGGACACCCACTCTTGAGGGAGAAAGGAGCAGTAATACACATCAAACACAACCCCCCAAAAAATCATGACCCCCAAAACTTCCCTTTTCTTGCTCATCAGGACCACAATCCACAAGTAGCAAAAAGCCAACTCCCAGAGTGGAGACTGCAGGACCCTGATGGCAGTGCCCTCCCCTCCCCAGGGGGTTTTAACACCAATGCCTTTGAGCAGACTTCCACCCTAAGCATATAAGTATATCTATACATACCTAAGTATAATGATATAAATCGATCTGTAGATAGTGAGAGAGATGGATATACACATATACACACACACACAGAAATCTGTGAATCTAGATCTTGGAATGGGAGAGGATTGCCTTGTTGTAGTTTTTTTCTAAGTCTCACAGGATTTCTGCCGTTGACAGATAACAATCTTAACATTAATCGTTATTCCTCTCTATTTGTGTAAATTTTTCTCCTAAGAGTTGGGTTTCATATTTTCTGTTATATACATTATATCTTAATACAGGTAGCTTTGACAGCCTAGTAGTAAGAAACTACACAGCAATCCCAAAGACATATGGTTCAAATCCACCAGCTGTTACCCCGGAGACAGATGAACAATCTCCTTCCATGGGATTTACTGCCTCTGGGGAACTACTGAATGGTCAGCAATGGGTTGGTTCCAACTTGTCAGTGCACACCACCACCATCATCAGAAACAGAAATATATACATTGTGTGTGGTTTATATACAAAGGAGCTCTGACGGCATAGTCTGTAGAGACTTTCACTGTTAACTAAAATGTTGTACCTCTTTGGTAGTTAGAATCTTCCAGCTCATTTTTTAGGAGAAAGAAGTTTCCTCATCTTCTCCCATGCAATTTACAGTCTGAAAAACTGCTGGAAGGTTAGCCATTAGTTTATTTCAACTTCATGGCAAATCATCTGGAGATATATATATATATATATATAGAGAGAGAGAGAGAGAGAGAGAGAGAGAGGAAGGTGGGAGGGAGATAGAGATGAAAGAACCCCTAGTGGTAAGTGGCCTTTGTGTGTAAATTGTGAGGTTCCTAATTGAAAAGGCAGGGATTTCGATATCCACCACTCTTACAGTGGGAAAAAGATAGTTTCCTCACATTAAGATATGAGTCGGAATTGACCTGATTGTAATTAGATGGTTATTAGAACAGCTCATAGTAATTGCATAGTGGAAGAATGGTTTTATTTTGCTTTTAGCATGGTTGTTTTCATTTTTTATATCAGAGTCCTTTGATGTTTCTGCTTTATCAACTGTCAAAATTGCCACCTCTCTCTCACAGAAGAGTAATGATGGCCGATCATGTGCTCTTTTTCTAGTAAAATACCACTAATGTATCTAATATGATTGACTGTGTTTACCAGACTTCTTCCTTCAAGCCACAAAATGGTAGTGGGTTGCTCTGAAAATCAGACAACAGTTAATAAAATAATATAGAATGTCCAAATTTGCTTAAACCATTAAGAAACACTTTTCACTTAGAAAGCAGACAGACATATTTGCTATGACTACTTGCAAAACATTATAAAACAGATTTCATTGAAACTATTTAAAAAAAACAGCTTAGAAAGACAAAAGAAATTGTTCGACTTACTTAGCTTTTTCATGCAGTCACGAAGTCTGGTTTCCAAGCTAAGTACCCTTTGATGCAGCTCCTCGTAATCATAAGCACCAATCTCTTCCTGAATCCCCGTGAGCACAGCTGACAGATTCCGAATCTCCTCCTTGAACTGGGTGATGAGCTTGGCGTCTGTTTTGTACTGTTCCAGCACAGGGATCAAGGGCAGCAGCTCATCCATCTTCTCTTTCAATTCCTGTGAAAAGCAGCCAATTGTTCCTGAGAGTCATTTAAAACAGATCAAGCAGCTACATCCTTTTGAATGTGATCCTTAAAGGAGATTATTAAAATAGCTTTAAAATTCTTCATTGATTTTTGGTTGAAATTAGGTATTTCGTGAGCATGTAAGCAGCCACATGATCATTAGCAGTAAATCTATTCATCCCATCTTCTCAATACAAGAACTTCTCTTTAAATGGCTTTATGCTTTCCTGTAGAGCACATTGATCCTTATCATAATTAGAAAAACTTTCAAAGGTAGTAATTATGGGGTTTTGTTATCTCAGTTTCTAGGAACATTTTAGATAGTAACAAGATATTGTTTAGTCAGGAGACATAAGCCGTGCCCATCTTCTATGAATGAAGTTTGAATAAAGTTATTGGAATTGGGTAAAACGTCTTATGTCTCTTTAAAAATCTTTCAAGTTAATTACAACTCATGATGACCCTCCTATCAGGGGATAAAGGCTGTAAATCTGATCAAGAGAAGACAGTTCATCTTCCCAGCTGGGTGGGGGTGGGCTGGCGGGGGGTGGGGGGGGGCGGGGGTAGGGTAGTTGGTGGTTTCAAATCACTGACACTTTGCTTAGCAGCCATAAAACAAAAACAAACCAACCCCACACCCCTCCACCCAGCAAGACTTTAAATATGTCTAATTACTTATCTGCACACTAGAAGCTTAGTGATAAGAAGATGAAGCTGCCATGAAATGTCAAAAGTATATGGTTCAAATCAGAAGATTGCAACCCCTATTCTAAGCCATTACAGGACAGAGGACAGTGACACCTGCATTTTCACCAGCAACTTTTAAATGAGGTAAAATGGTAAGGTCAAAGGAAATATTTAATGAGTTTGATTCAACTGTGAATTTGCTGTGGATTTTATAATTTGTAGATAGGGCTATTTTTATTATAATAATTTGAAAATAATTCATAGGTGCCATAAGAAACCATACTGTACACTCACTAATTTATGAGACTGAAAATTGCATTTTTAAATTACATTTGCAAGATGCTGTTTGTATAAATGCATTGAAACACCAAGAGCTGCCATAGCTGCTCTGATTTATAGGCTTTGTGCTGGAAAGGATTTTCACTTGCTCTAGAGTTAAGTACTCATTGACTGTGTGCATGGTGAGTAGAAGCGTGAATAGACTTTTAATAATGAGAAAGTTTCATAATTAGCACAGTCAAAAATGCAGAATTGCAAAACTTTGCTCATTTTAGTAGCTGATTCTGAAATATATTTATTAGTTTGAGCATTCTGTGGCATTCTCCAAAGAAGACATATTTAGTTCATTAAGATTATACTGAGAATAGTTCTGAAAATAGTATTATATTGAGGATACTACATATACGCATGCATGTATATAAGTAATTCTGGTGGCCTAATCCATAGGGAATTATTCTATTAACCTAAAGGCTATGTCTCTTTACAGTTTCAATCCACCAGTAGCTGCTTAGTAGAAAGGTAGTCAATCTCTTTTTGTGTATACAGCCTCAGAAACCCAATGGAGGGTCAGTTTTCATACAGTGTCAATACACACACACAAACACATATATATGGGTGTGTGTGTGTATATATATATATATATAGATGTGGATATATTTTTCAGAAAGAAACATTGGTAATAATAGTGCATTACATATTGCACTGTTTACAGAAAAAACAGTCATCTGAAACCACCAGGCAATCTGTGAGAAAGATGGGCAGTAAAGATTGAATAACCACAGAAACCTTATGGAGGACAGTTTTGAGTCATAATCAACTTGATGGCAGTGGGTTTGGTTTAGATTTTATAATTCAAGAAGCTAAAGACTACCTTCGAATATAGCCAATTCTCAAATAATTTGATCAGCGTACAGACTGAATAGGTATGGAGGAAGAACACAACCCTGACACATTCCCTTCTTAATTTTAAACCATGTAGTGTTTCCTTACTCTGTTAGCACAGTAGCTTCTTGCTCCAGCTGTAGGTTTCAAATAAGCACAGTTAAGTGCTCTTGGATTTCCAAGATGTTAACCATAACTTATTAGGATCCACTCAGTCAAATATGCCTTTGCATAGTCAATAAAGCATAAACAGATATTTTTCTGACAGTCTCAACTTTTAGCCGGGATTCATCTGACATCAATAATGGTGTCTCTTCTAAATCCTGCTTGAACTTCTGGAAGTTCCCTCTCTATGTACTGTTTTAGCTGCTTTTGAATGATCTTCAGCATTATTTTGCCTGCATGGAATAGTAATGACATTGTTTGAAAGCTTCCACATTTTGTCGGATGATCTTTCTTGAAAATGGGTACAAATTCCAATCTTCTTCCAATCTGTTGGCCAGACAGCTGTCCTTCAAATTTCTTGTCATAGCCTGGTGAGTGCATCCGGGGCTATATCTGTTAATTGAAACAAGTCAGTTGGTATCTAATAGATTGGTATCTTACTGATTCCTAGGACCTTATTTTTGCCAATGCCTTCATTGCAAATTCAACTTCCTTCCATTTGACACTGGATATATAATACTTTCTGAAAATTTTTCAGTGTAAGTCTGTTTTGTTGGTGTTTTGGTTTTTGTTGGTTTGTTTTGTTGTGGTTTTTTTTTTTTTTTTTCAGTATAGGGATTTTAGTATTCCTTCCATCTTCTTTTGATGCTTCCTGGGTCATTCAATACACTGCCCATAGCACCTTTCAATATTGTAAGGCTTAAATATGTTTTCAGTTTTCTCAACTTGAGAAATGCAGAACAAGTTTTCCCCTTTTTATTCTCCAATTCCAGCTCTCTGCACCTTCCATTATAATACTTTGCTTTGTCTTTTGGAGCTGCCTTTGAAATCTCACCAGCTCTTTTATGTTGGCATGTTTTTCCTGTTTTGTCTTCTCAATGGGCTAGTGCACTTTTCAGAGTCTCTTCTGACATACACTTTGGTATTTTTTTTCTCCTCTGCCTTTGTAAAGACTTTCTGATCTTTTCATGGGTGATATCTTTTCTATCATCCCACAACTCACAAATCCATATGTTTAGAAAATTATTCAAGAAGCTGGGCACTATGGAGAAGAAGGTGACATCAAGATCAGAGGAAGACCCATCAATAATCTGTGTTAGGAAGATGACACAACCTTGTGTGCTGAACATTAAAGGACTTGAAGCAGTTGCTGTGGAAAACCAAAGAATATATAGCCTTCTATATGGATTGAATCTCAATGCCAAGGAAACAAAGATTGTTACCACTGGACTAATAGGCAACAACATGGCAGATGGAGAAAAGATTGAAACTGTCAACAAATTCATCTTACATGGATCCACAATCAGCACTCATGGTATCAGCAGTCAGGAAATCAGGAGACATATTGCACTGGAGAAGTCTGAAGTTAGGGACCTCGCCAAATTATTGACTTGTAATGATGTCGAGTTGAGGACTATGGTGCATCTGATTCAAGCCATAGTCTTTCTGATCATTTGCTATTCATTTAAGAGTAGGCAATGAATAAGGATGACAGAAGAATTGATGCCTTTGAGTTGTGGTTTTGGAACTGAGTACTGAATATTCCACGGACTAGCAAAAGAATACGTCTTGGAGAGGGTGAAGCAAGAGTGCTCTTTGGAGACAAGGATGATAAAACTTTCACCTCATACTTCGGGCATATTATGAAGAGGAGAATTTTTTTTTTTTAACTTTTGAGATGTTCATGATGCTTATAAAGGTGGAGAGCTAGAAAAGGAGAGAAAAACCCTCAACTACACAGATTGACACAGTGACTCCACAATGATCTCTATTATGTAAAAAAGTGTGAGGATGACGCAGGATAGGACAGGGTTCAGATCTGTTGTTCACAGAGCTGCTATGAGATATATGCGACTCAACAGCACCTGACAACAACAACAAAGGTCACCTAGAAACACAGTGCACTTACTGGTATTGTGCATTGGAGGTTAAACTTTTGGATTTCAGTATAAGTTCTGGTACATGTTAGATATTATTAGATACATTATTAGATACCATCTACGACAATTTTCCAACCACTTTATGTACTTTTCTTCTTTAAGATGAAGATAAAACTAATACCATTTTAGAGCACTGCTGTTGATAATGAAATTACTTAATATATATTAGAGTGCTCAGAACTGGACTTAACTGCATAGGAACAGATGGAAAAAAGCTACTCTATTACACCTGTATTATTGGATTTTGAAATAACTTCATTATTTACCTGGATCTCATGTACTGCTGCTTTTTGTAGGTGTCATCAAATTAACTACAACTTGCAGAGAACCTATGAACAACATATAACCCTGTCCTATCCTGTGCCGTCCTCATCATCTGATATGCTTGAGCTCATTGCTGCAGTCACAGTCACCTATCTTGTGGAGGAAGGGTCTTCCTCTCTTTTGCTGATCTATCTTTTCAAACCTGAAATCCATTCCTAAGGAATACCCTCTCCTAACAACACACCCAAAGTTTGTGCGATGACACTTTACCATTCCTGACTATAAGAAACACTCTGGCTTCATTTTCTCAAAGATATAATTGTTTTTTGCAATCCATGGAATATTGAGTACTCTTCTCTAACATCACAACTCTAAGGCATTCGTTCTTCTTCCCATACAGCCCTAATGCACTGGTCCCTTGTTCTGTTCAGATAACAGCTTCTTGCTCTAGGTAGAGGTTTCATATGAACATAATTACATGTTCTGAGATTCCCATTCTTTTCAAGGTTAGCATGGTTCGTTCTGATGTTGCTGTGTACCATAGAGTCAGAAGTGACCCATAGCTGACCTTCAAGTGGGTTTTCAGAGGCAGTTAATCACATGGGAGGAGATTGCGCATCCTTCTTCCACAGAACAGCTTTGAACATGCCTTGAACAGCATGTCTTCAGGATTGCAGTGCAGCTTCTTGCCACTAGGCCACCACACAGTCAGATGCCTTTGAGTCAGTGAAACACAACCTCACATTCTTCTAGTATTCTCTTCCTTTAGCCAAAATCCTTTTGACACCAGCAACAATATCCCTGGTGCCATTGTCTCTTTTAAACCCAGCATGAACTATTGGCAATTCTGTGACCATGTACCATTCCAGCTATTTTTGGATGATCTCAAATACAAGGAAGTAAAAATCATTATTTCACATAATGATGCCTGAAAATAATTTTCCTTATTGGTAGCTTGACTATTGTAGGGAAAATTTTGCTGTTTTTATTGTCGCGTGGTACTGAGGAAAAAACAATTTGTAGTTGATCCCTAGCAGGTTTTCAGAGACTGTAAATCATACAGAAAGAGACTGCCCATCTTACCAGCTGGTACAGCTGGTAGATTCAAATAGCTTGCCTTTGGGTTGACAGCACAATCCCTTACCATTAGGCTCCCATTAGGGAAAATTACAGAACACACAAATCACTTCTCTGGGTTTTTCTCAGCTTCGCATCTCTCGTGTTTCTTCATTTCCTGACTTTCCCCAAGACTTTTCATAGCTGTGAAAGCTTCATCATGTGTACCCAGCCGTACCAGTTGTGGCATCAGGCATTTTCATGCTGTCTTTGGGCTTCACACAGTTCCCACTACACCATCCAGCTGGAGCTAAATAGTTTTCAGGCTGCTCCTTCGATGCTTTGCTTTGTTCATCTCCTTTCCTCCTGTGCTGCAGCCTTTCTGGGAATGCTTCTCAAGTACACAAACCGCTATCTTCCATATGTTACTGGGTTGGTGTCCTAATCATTGGGTTCACGTTACACTCATTCTATTGTACTTCTTTAACTGTGTTTCATAGATCCTATGTTTTAGAGAAATTGAAGGATTGTAGAAACCCTGCATCAAGCAAGACTTTAGATGTTTTGTTTTGTTTTTCCCCAACAGTGTACTCACTTTGTGCCTCTGTCACACTATAGTAGCTTTTCCAATATATCACACTTTAAAAAAATTTTTTATCACACATTTTGTAATTCTTTTTCACATTTAGCATATTAGAGTATAGAGTACAGTTAACTTTTATAGGGCCTTGGAAACCAGAACCTTTGTGTGACTTGTTTCATTGTGATATTCACATTATTGTAGTGTTCTGCAGCCTAACTTCCAGGTTTGAGGTAAGACTAGAGTGCTGCACAGTCCTTATGCTCATCTTGGACAAGGAGACTTGACAGTGGAAACAATTTTATTTTCTTGAAATCATCCATAACTCTGTGTGTGTGGGTGTGGGTGTGTGTCACTACCCTCATTTTTGACAATGAGGATTGGCACTGACACCTTGAAACCTTCTACATAATTATGTCTGTATCATGAGTCTAAAAATGCTTGTTTGCATACTACTTTTAACTCTTCCCTAGATCATCTCTAAACAAAATTAACAGTGTTCTCAAATCCGCAAACCAGTTGTCAAGCAGTCAGATCTGACTCAAGAAGAACTCGTGAGTGTCAGAACATAACTGCCCCTCAGGGTTTTCAGGGGTCGATCGTTGGGAAGTAGACCAGCAGGCCTTTCTTCTAAGGCCACCTGGAGTAGGCTCAAACTGTGACTCTTTTGGTTAGCAGTGACACATGTTAATTTATTACAGCTCACAGGTACATCTTTGTGACCATATTTATGCCTCTGTTTAATAATTTTATCTCTCAATCAGTTGCATTTCAGTGTAGAGATATTATGTCTGGTACATCTCCACAAGAGCCTAAAACTTCCTTGCATTCATATGTGCTCAATAAATATCGGTTTTAGCGACTTGTTTGCTCTTCTGATTTTTATTCTCTATCATCCATCCTAAATTCCATCTGTCTCTATCCATTCATTCTCGACTTTTCAATAATGTTTGGATATATATTATCTTGCAGCCTTTATTTATTTTTTTAATAATTTTAATTAAAGTTTACAGAGATTTTGGATTTTCATTCATTCACTGTTGCACTTTTCTCCCTGTCCAACTTCCCCCCAGTTTGTTCTTCTCTTTGAAAAGTTATTATTAACTCTAGTTCCTGAACACCATGGCTTTGCTTACTTCTCATGTCAATGCCCTCTCCTGGCAGCACTCTTAATTATATTTTACTTTTTAAAAAATGCCTGTTTAGTGAATAGTTCAAACTGATTCAGTGTAAGACTTTGCCTTCTTTGCTTCTCTATCCATGCTTCTAAGCACCACTAGAGAAAGTTACAAAAGTATTATGAGTGAGTGAAAAGGCCATACATAGTCTAGGCAACATTTAGATTTTATTATAGGGTGAAAAACATTAAGTAAGTAATTGGTGAAGGCTGTTCAACATGAAGTTTGGTTTTAGTGAACTTTACACTTTGAAAAAAAAAGCTAAATTGCAAATTATATATTTTCTTTATTTTTGCCACATTATAAGTGCAGTTTAAGGAAATATTTTGTTCAGTAACCCTGTGGCATTGTGTAACCAAATGTAACTCAATGTGTACATGCACTTTATCCTGGACCAAAGGCTGGAATTCTGATGCCTCTGACCATCAATAGGCGTGAATTTTACATCCTAATTGGCAGAGAAAACAGAGCATTAAGTGAGCTGTCCAAATGTACTTTAGAAACAAAAAAAGTGCCATGCTCTTTGAAGGTAGATAATTTCTATTTAATCTCTATTAAATGAAAATATTATTGTAATATTCTAATGTTATTATCAGGTTAAAATATTATCAGAGTCAGATTACTTTTAAAATCCCTCACACCATATTACGGAGCTCTCGTGGCCTAGTAGAAAGAAGCTGTGCTGCAATTTTGAAGGCACACACTTTGAGTCCACCAGTTACTCTGAAGGAGCAACATGGGCAATCTCCTCCTAAGTCATTAACTGCCTCTGAAAAATCACCTGAGGGTCAGTTATGGGTGGGTTCTGACTTGATGGTACACAACAACAACATAGTATTACATACTTAAAGTCTATATTGTTGTGTTGTCTATACAATTAGATTAAAAGCAACATTTCCCTAATTTCAATGTTTCTGGTCATTGCTACTAAATGATTGAAAAAACCTAGATCTAGCCAAGGATGTTATATGTCTCTTTACAAAATTTATATCTTCTGCTAAGAAAATAACTCTTATATATTATTGATGGGATTATAAAATGGTACAATCACTCTGGAAGGCAATGTGGCACTTCCTCAAAAAGCTGAACCTAGAAATTCCATATGACCCAGTTATTCCAATGCTTGAAATATACCTTGAAAGAACAAGAACTGAGACACAAACGAGACTTGGACACCAATGTTCACAGCAGCATTATTCACCATCACAAGAACATAGAAACAAACCAAATGTCCAACCACAATCAAATGAATTGAGAAATTATGGTACATTCACATGATGGAATACTATGTGGCACATAGGAGCAATGATTCTGTAAATTACTACCTAACTTGGGAGGGACTGGAGAGCATTATGCTGAGTGAACTAACTCAGTTCCATCAGGACAAATGCTGTATAAAGCCATTATTGTAGGAAGAGTACGGGGATCGAAGGAGGGGATGGAAGCAGAGAAGTGAGGATGATCAGGGTAGGGTGGAGGTGGTTAATCATGGGGTCACACAATTTGATGGAGGGGTGTGAAAGAAATGGGAAAGATCCAGAGTGAAAAACAATGTATTCAAACTTTGTAAATAAACCAGTATAAAACGAAAACAACAACAACAAACTCCATAATGAGTTGGAAAGAGAATGTGAATGAAGAATAGTGTGAAACACAAAGTATTCAAACTTTGTAAATCAATATAAAATAAAATTTTAAAATATATTTACATCTTCTACATTTCTCCCCATATCACAGGACATAAAATCATTAGAAAAACTTTTCTAGTGGGGAGAGAAGTGCAGCAATGAATAAATGGAAATCCAAAATCTCTGTAAATGCTCATTAAAATTACCTAATAAAAAATTTTAAAAAGGAGAAGGGTGCAACAATGAATGAATGGAATTCCAAAATCTCTGTAGATGTTCATTGAAATGAAAAAGAAATAAATTCATTAATTAAAAAAAATTAAAAAAAGAAAAACTTTTCTAATTGAATTATTAATTATCCTTGGAAATTCTCTTTGCATAAAATCCGTTATAAAATCTGCTATAAAATCAGCTAACCAAAAACCTCACCTCACTCAAGGATGACAAGACATTTATTTTTTATAGTAAGACATCTTTGCACTCTTAACAGCTAATGGTCAGCTTGAGTGGCTAGATTTACATCTGCAGTGGATCCTTAAGCTTGTAAGTAGAAGCTAGCACACACTTACTTCTATCTGAATGACATGCTGACTGTCCACTGCATTCAGCGTTTCATTTAGACTGACAAGATTGTAGAAGTCAAACCTACTTGAAAATGCTTGGTCATTAGTGTCTTCCGATCATCTTCAATTTGTCGAAACTTGGCCTTCAGTCCTTTCATTTGGGTTTCCATTTTTAAAACATATTGGAAATCTCTCTGTGTTCTCAAGTTTAAGACTTCAATAGACTGGGACATATTCTGAACCTGTTAAACAAGAACACTGGCTTGCATTATTGTCAGTTGGCCATTTATCATATACAAGTATTACCAAAGGAGCACAAAATTACCTTAGCATAAAGAATGAGAAATATCAAATTCATAATTACCCTCTCATCTCAATTATTTTCAGTACAAATCTTCCTGATAAGCATTTAGGAAATACAGCAACATAAAATCATACCAGGTAGGAAATAATACAAATGGTCTTGTAGAATTAGAAATGACAAAATAGAAATAAGAATTTAATACATAAGATACGTAAATTTCACAAATAAAATATTCATTCTAGAGTTTGCTAAGCCTATCATGTCCTGACTTTTAAATGTCCAAATAAGCTGTTTCTTGAAATATTAACTTTTACTTCCTAACTACATGGGATGCTTAGCAATCATGGACTTTAATGAAGACCCAGATGTACTCATTCCAGGATGATTACTTCATGATAATACAAAAGTACTCCCCAGAGAGAAACGAAATTAATCAAGATGAGTGTTGGCAGTTCTGGGACAACTTCCTGAATCAAAGAATATAAATGTTTAAGGGTCATGAAAAATGGCAACTCCTTTAGATGTCTGGTAATAGGCACTAAGCACATGTTAAGTTTCTCAGGCATCTCAGTCAACTAAGTCCTAGGCTTTCAGAAAGAACAAATACAATGTAAACAATAAAGAATGCATAAATGAGTGGAAAGGAAAAATAGCCCAATTTCCTGGCAGAAAAATTCCTGAAAACAAAGCAAAGACTTCTAAAAGTAGGGGAGACATTGTAAGAATTGAATAATAACTGTCAATAGACTGCTATAAAGAATAAGATAGATCTCTAAGAGGCAATGGTGACAAAAATTTCTGTCTACAGAACAAGATTGTTATTTATTACCTGAGTTTGTGAGAAATACAGAAGAATCTCAGCTGTACTCCATGAACACTGAATCAGACTATGCCTTTTAGAAAAATTCCCAAGTTAGTCTCATGTCTATTAAGGTCTGATAAACACTGTTTGCTTAGCCTGGAGGACATTTCCTAATTCTTTGCTAGATGAGAAAAGAGTAAAGATTTTGTATAATTTGTTCCTTTTGTTTTAAATCAAATATTGACATATAATAAACATATATGTGTATGTAAAATGAAATAGAATACAAAGCAAAAAGGATAGAAAAGCTATGGGAGGGCTCTTGTTTTATTGGTGACCACCAGACAAGTATAACTTAATGTGCAACAGATCTGAATCTTCTCTGATCTTGCGCTACACTCACCATCTTTGGTTACAGTCACTGTGTCAATTTATCTCGTTAAAGAACTTCTCTTTCTCTGACTCTCCACTTTTCCCATCATGATGTCTTCTTCCAAGGACTAGACCCTCTTCATAATATACCCAAAATATGTCAGACAAAATATCACCATCCTTGCATCTAAAGAGCACACTAATTGCATTTTGTCCATAGGATATTCTGTATTCTTCTTCAATGTCACAATTCAAAGGCATTTTTCCTTTATATGAACAGATGGTTATAAGAATACATATGAAATTAATACTGGGGGTTTTTTTCCAGAGTGAGATGTGGGAAGAGATGTGAGAAAATAAATATCACAGAAAAGGGTCCCTAGTAAAGAAATTGTGTTCAAGCCTTTAGGCAGTATTGGTGCTTTTGTGGTTTAAGGAGTTGCACTGTCAACTCAAAATCACGTGTTTCAAACACACCAGTTGCTCTCAAGAAGAAAGATGAGCAATCAATTTCCTTCCATGCAATTTATTGCCTCTGAAAACCCCCTGCTGGGTCAGCTGTAGATTGGTTCTGACTAAACAGTAGTCAACAACAACAAATCTATAGAAGGATGGGCAATCTCTTCCCATGTGATTTATTGCTTCTGAAAACCCACTGGAGGGTCATTTATGGGTCAGTTCCAACTTGATAGTACACAACAACAACAAAAGCATATGAATAAATAGATACATCAAATTGTGGTCATGCAAAAAAGGGTGGTGGGATTTCAAGTGAGTTTTGCTTTGCTTATTATATATTTATGTATTATTCATATTTTATAATGAATGTGTATTACTTTCGTTGTTGTTGTTGTTATATGCTGTCTAGTTGCCTGTGACTCATAGCGACCCTATGTACAATAGCCCTAAATTCTCTTTATTCTGTGCCAATCTTATTGTCTCTGACACACCTACTCCTAGTCACTGAATCAATTCTTCTCACTGAGGGTCTTCCTTTCTTGTGCTGTCCCTCCACCTTCCCAAGCATGATGTCTCTCTCCAAAGACTGGTCCCTCCTTGCAGTATATCCAAAGTATGTCAGACGAAGCTTCAGAATCCTTGACACCAAGTAGCAACCTTCATCCTCTCCAGGATGAACCTGTTTGTTCCCCTAGCAGTCCATGTTATATTCAAGAGTATATGCTCTTCTCAAGCACATTACTTATGTCCTCAGTGAAAAAAAAAATACATTAACTGACACAATTATAAATTACAAACACAGAGCAGAAAATTTATTCAGAATAATAATTCATAATTAAGTCACAAAGCCTAGAGAGTCTGCCAGCTATAAAGGATGCTTACATATTCTGAAAAAATAGTAAATTCAATGCCTTGGTCTGTCTCATTATCTCCATTTCTTCTACCAGACAAGACTAAAATTCTATGAATCATTTTCTTCTGCTATCTTGATGCATCACCATACTCTTCATTGTCATGTCTTTTCAGAACATATACCAATCCATAAAACTTATTCTGTAATGTTGCGTGTTGGTTGAGGAAATGAAGGGGCTAATCTTACTGTGAGTTCCATACAACAACAGACCTTGCACAAAAACAAGCAAAGAATATACAATAAATATATACTGAAAAAGATTGCTTTTATTCTGAAAAAGGTATAAAAATAATTAATATTTAATATTTTAAAGAAAATTGCTCTTATCAAATGGCTCTCACATAATTTCTTCATTTATATACTCAAATTCAGAAAGTTGAGGGGTTTTTTTAACTTTAATATAGAGCAAACGTGCAAAGACAAAATTGAAAACATGGTGACTGGTTCTAACTATATTTATTGTTAAATATGTATAATGAAAGGTTATTTATGTTAAGGAAACTGTTTACGCATTGGAATAAAGGCATTGATTGATAAGTGTATTTACCGTTAGTATGGACAATGACCTCTTAGTTATTGCCATGACCTTATGCACTGTGTAGACAATTAGGAAATAGCAGGCAAGATATTCTGAGTAAACTCAAACAGCCACTGTTTATCTCTTTTTATCCCTTTGCATCTAAGTTAACCTACCAAGTTCATTTTTAATTTTATTTCTGCCATGGGAAAATGCACTAAACATGTTTTTCCCCCCTGAGATGTGATTGTGACCTTCTATATTACAGAATCATGTGTAATTATAAGAGCTACATTTAGGGCAATGACTGGAGATATACCTGTCTAATTGGCAAGCATTGACTCTGAATTGCATTTTGCTCTCTTCCCTCTCTCTGCCTAAAATTATTTAGATCCTCACTGGTCATGGAGACCTGCAGAGCATAAGCTTTATCCTTACATGATCTGATGATACATTGAACTGGCTAATTCACCTTAACACTTGTAGAAAGAAGACCTGAGTCCTATAGGAAACCACTATCAGTCTGGTTGTGTCTCATGCTGTGAACTTTATCTTTCCATATGTCTCCTTGTACTTAGTTCTTCTATGAGTTTTCTGTTAACTGAGGGAGTTCTGATGCTTGAGTTCCTAGTTAGTTGGGTTTCTAACTAAAAAAATGACCTTCCTCTCAGGATTTGACTCTAGAGGGTCTGCTGGAGAGCTCTGGTGCCTTAGTGATAAGGAATTGCACTGCCAACCCAGAGGTATGTAATTCAATTCCACAAGTGCTCTGCTGGAGAAAATGATGGGCAATCTCGTGCTGTGCAATTAGCTGTCTGAAAACCAGCTGGAGGGTTAGCAATGAGTCAGTCCCAACACAACCGGTACCCAACAACAACAACAAGAGACTCTGCTAGAAAAATATAGACAATCTCCTCACATGAAGCCTCAGAAACCCAATGGAGAGTCATCTATGTGTCAGAAGCAACTCTGTGGCATAAATATTTGAGTTTTGATTTTGAGTTAAGGTTGCTTTGTTTTCTTGTTTGAAGAGCTTCCCTCTCTAGTTTAATAAGATCATTCTCCCATCTTTATTGAAAATTTATCTTAAGTCCTTATTTAATCTAATTCTTTACATAAGTAAAATTCTGAAACTAAACTCAAATTGAACTTACAATCAAGTTAAACTAACAAACTCAAATTCAGAATTGTATTATTATTCTTAGTGTGCAGACTACTTATAAAAATATGTATGGTATAAAATGTTGGTTAACACTGAACTTAAAAAAGAGACTTTATTCTCTTCTTTTTTAAACCAATAGGACTTCTGGGAATCTTTCATACTAAAATATATGTTGGAAGGTTCTAAATTCATTATCCTGGTAAGAATGTTATTGCCAGAATCCTATTCTAAAAGTCACTTTAGGAAATACTGACCTAGATACTGGAAGATATATTCAATTGCACAGAGAAGTTAAATAACTATTTTAAATGTGAATAACTTTACTTTAGACATATTAAGACATAAAATGGTGAAAGCAATAGTATCTTTCTAATATTCATTGAAATAAATATTTTATGCTAAGATTTTTTATAGCATGTCACTTATGTAAATTTGAGCACCACTAGTGGTATTTGAGTGATATTGAAATAATATTTAGAAAATGATCCTTAGACCAAACTAACTTATAACTTACTGACTTGAGTAATATTAGAAAGTCTTTTCATCTCAGAAAATATGAGTTTCCTTTTCCATACACTTAGAAAGATAACTACTTTTGCTGTGAAAATAGAATGAAAGACTAAGATTATAATAGATTATCATTACAATTAATCTCATTAATAACATTGAATATTCAATTACTAGTGTCTGGGTAGTATTGGCAGTTTGTGTTCATCAACTAAACTATTTTTAATCCACCCAATGATGCCTTTGATAAATATTACAGACAAGAAAATTCTATAGAGCAGCTCCTTCCCTTACAGTAGGGATCAACAGGAATCAGAACTGACTCAACGGCAACAGTTTTTGTTTTTGAAATATATCATTAAATCAGTCTCAGCTCATGTTCAGTATTATCTGCTATCTAAGCAGGCGCTATGAGTCAATTCTGACTCATGGTGACGTCATACATGTTAGAAGCTTATTTCATAAGGTTTTCAATGCATGATTTATTTTTTAAGTAGATTATAGATCTGTTAGTTTCTGAGACATTTCTAAATGGACTTGAACAGCTAATCTTTCAGCAAGCATGTGAACCATTTGCATGACTTATCATGTGAACCATCTGTATCATCCAGGTATGCTTGTCACCTGCTATCTTGAATGTATGTGAAATTAACAGCAATCAGCAAGGGACTGGCTCATTTTGAATAAAGAATTCTTGGTTCCAGTGTCCCCTTTCTCTGAGTCAATGCAGTAAATCAATTCTATTTACTTTCCTTTAGGTGCTGTAAAGTGGCCCCTCCAAATCTATTCTTCCTTTGTTGACATAATACTGCCAACGAATCTAAAAAAAAATAAAAATAAAATCTAAATCTAATTGCTTGTGACTTTGATGTTGTTAATACATTTTCATTTTGTGTTTTTTAGTTTATTAATAGAGCTTTAAAATTATTTTAAAGAATAACTTTAAAACCTTCAAATACATTACATATTGGAAGTGGTGTAATATTAATTTTTGGTTGCTTTCAACAAACCAAAACAATATTTTTTAATTTACCCTATAAATAATTACTTATTTTATCAGAGGACATTTCACTTTGGAATATATTTTTATTTGAGCCTATAGATACCAAATTACTCCTTTTTTTAAAATATTTCTAGTTCAAATTAATCTTTCCAAACAATTGAACAAAAATTTCTATTTGTGTTTATGTATATATGCTGCCCTATAAAAAAAAAAATAGTAATACAAATAAGTTCATTGTATCTAAGAATATTGTTCTCACCATAATTGATGAAAAAAGAATTTGGCATGGTGTATCAGGTTGGAAGAGAATGTCAGTAATCCGAGGAAAATGTGATTTAATAATAAAATAAAATTCATATTAGAAACAAATTATTATTACAAACACCTTCTTTAGTGTGGCTAAGGCATGCCTCCTCTAACCAGACTAGGGTACACCTAATTCAGGCCATTGTCTGCAATTACTTGCTATGCATTAGAGACTAAGGATAACTGAAGAAGAATTGACACCTTTGAGTTGTGGTGCTAGAGAAGAATACTGAACATACCCAAGAGACTGCCAAGAGAACAATCAAGTCTGTTTTTGAAAGAGTGAAACCAAATTTCTCCTTGGAGGCTAGGATTTTTAAGCTCTGTCTCACATACTTTGGGCACGGGACCAGGAGGTCCTTGGAGAAGGGGATCATGATGCTCGGAAGAGTGGAGGGACGGTGCAGGAGAGGAAGACCTTGGATGAGATAGATAGACAAAGTAACTGGGGCAATGGGGGAGTATGTTGGAGTCACTGAGACTCAGTCAGGATAGGGAAGGCTTCAGAGCTACTGTACTATGGGGTTGCTATGAGTTATGAACGACTCAATGGCACATGATAAAAACAACACTACCTCCCCTAGTAACAAACAAAATATATATGATTTTATTTTCATCAAAATAAAGAAAATAAAGCGCAGAAAAAAATACATAGAAATAAGCAAAACTTGTTCATTTCTAATAGTATATTAGCTGGAGTCATTAAATTTTAATGAAAATGGTATATACTATTATCTGGTATTTAAGGAGCACATAGAATGGGATCTTATAAAACAAATAAACAAACAAAAAAACCTTAAGAAGAGAGCACCACTAGGTGATATCTCCAAATAAAGAGAAATACACACAGGTGAATTCTTGAATAAGAACATAAAATAAAGGCATCACAAATTCCTGGACCAGCATTAGACTTTCAAATAATGCTTAAGCATCCAAAAGCAATTTGTTTTTCATTATATGGCAATGAATAGAAGTTACTGTGACTGGACTTGAAATTGTGTAAAGTTATCTATATGAATAAGCTTTTATTTTTCTAGCTTTCCTTAATTTTTCCGTAAAAAGTTCCTATTCAGTACTCTAATTATGTAGATGATCATAAAAAAAACATGGTTGTACAGAGTGAATTTTGAATATAATGTCTTCTTGACATAAGTACTACTAATTTACCTTATTATCCCTGACATTGTATAAAATTCAAACATGCTGTCATCTTTCCATCAACCTGGTCACACAGCTGTCTTAATAGATTCAAAGCCTGAAATGCATTCCAGAGCAGAGAAAGGCTGAACGGAGATAACTTAAAGGACTAGTGCTATTTTTTTTTTACACCAAACATAAATAACTTTCCATAAGATGACTTTCATCTGTAAAAGACAATAAATCAAGAGCATTCTGTATTTGATTGTTATGGATCCAGCCTAAGTAAATTTTATAGAGAGAAAGCTATTGAACGAAATTGAAGAGCTTAATGTTCAAAGGACTGACTTAGAGAATGATGATAAATACTTGGAATTATTCATTATCTGTCGAGATAGTTTGCACATTGCATGCCATTATTTTAAATTCCTTGCAAGGATGCTAATGAAATCTGAAAGTATGAGCTCAAAGAGCTAAAGGAGTGACTCAGAGTTGAAGATGAATTTCTGTCATGAGGGTAAGACTTCTTGCTTTATTTTTACCTTCCTTTGGAGAACGGACATTTAGACATGTTAGAAAGTGAATCTTAAGAAGGAATAGTTAAGAATAATGAACAATCATACAAATATATTAACATAGGTAAAATTGTTACATACTCTTTTGAAGCAACATGAACTAGCTTATTTGAAATAGGAACAAAAATCAGTTGATTAGACATTGTAATTAATTAACTGTATTAATAAATGTTAATTTATGTTATAAAATGAAATGTCTATGAATGATTGTACAAAAAACTAAAATGATTTGTAAAACTTTCATCAAAATTTAAAGGACAAAAATAATCAGAAGCAAGGGAGCTCTGGTGGCCTAGTGGCAAGAAGCTGTACTGCAAGCTCAGAGGTATGCAGTTTGAATCCACCAGATGCTTTGCTGGAGAAGGAGGGGCAATCTCCTCCTGTAGCACTCAGATCCGATTTGACGGTACACATACACAAAAAATAAAATTAAATTAAAAAAAATCAGAAGCAATCATATCTTCTTTACAGAATTTTCTTTATAGAATGATAAATGTTAAAAGGACTACACACAGGAACCAGAAGAAATCCTACCTTTTCCAGAAGCTGCCGAAGCTGCCGGCTTTTGGCATCTCGAGAACAAAGGTTCTGTTCTGGTGCAACCACAGTGCAAATGCATCGCCCATCAGGATCTTGGGCTGAACTGTAGACTTGCCACCCTTCTTTGGGGCTAATCTGAGTCTGTGAAAAACAATGGTGAACAAACAAACCATAAACTCTAGTTACAGGATGCAGAGAACGTCAATGTGTAGAATTTGAAGCATAGTATCTTTTTTGATACCTACAGTATGTGTTTTCATTTCTTAGAATAAAAAGAGGTTAACTTACATAGGCAGCACAGTTTCATTCACTATTCTGTATCACTGTACAGATGGAAAATATTTTTATTTCATATTTCTGGACTCATATTATTAACTGTTTATTGGATCATCACAAAGTGCTAAAATTTTTAATCCTATTTTGCCATTTTAATGCAAGTTTACAAGAACCATTTAGTTGCTTAATCACTTATGACGAGTTTTTGTACAGAAATTGTTTTCAACAGTAAATGATAATCAGTAGTAGTTATTTTTCTCATTACTATTTATATACGTTATGCCAAGGCATAGGCCTGTGCTTCCCATGTATTGAGGGAAAATAAAAAAAAAAAAATGATATCGTTGTTGTTTTGCAAAGTAAGTGGATTCCAAGAGAACTAATAAGAGTGTTTTGGCCTAACCTGCCAAACTGATCTTCCCAAATCACCACTGTGCACAAGTCACACCACCTCCCTAAAACCTTTGTTCAAAATGTCATTGAAATTCCAGTGCAACTGGCCTTCTATTTCTGTTGTTAATCTTATCTCCTGTACTTTTCTATATTGACCTTCTTTCCAAGAAAATTGGTTGCTGTGTGTGTATTTTTCAAACAGACCACATTGATTCATGATTGTAGAGTGCTCATTCTGTTTTTCTTGCTTGGAAAACCTCCTTTATAATCTTTCAAATTACTCAGACTTTGCCAATTTCTCCAAAAAAATTTCTGGAAAAATTGTCTGTATCCTTCATTAGGCCTTTAATGTGTATTATCTGATTGTCTTTCATATGTCTCTTACTTAAACAATTAGCTCGAATAGTAGAACAATTATTCAGATACTAGACATATTAGTTAATTCTTACCTGTCACATCAAGCATTTAAAATTTTTTGCAGATATGTTTAGTATTCTTTGAGAAAGTACTGAACTTGGCACATATAGTTTTCATTGTATAAACAGAAGCCTTTGTGGATGCCATAGTATGCTGCCAAGAGAAACCTTCATTCCTTCAGCTTCTGGGAGGATCTACAGCCTAGGATTCAGTCGAAACTCCTTTTGGAGATTTGTTTAAAAATGCAGCTGCTTTGAAGATCAGACTCTTTTCCAGGGCAGTCCATATCCACTGCTTTGTCAATAAAGAATAAATCTCTTGCCCTTACTCAGGAAACTGAACAGAGCCACCAGCTCCAGAGCTCCCAATGACATTGGATGAAGCCTTTATTATAGTTCTACCACATGAGAACAAATCTTTCTTTTCATCGGTCTTACTCTTCTTTCATATTCTCATTATGGGTATTGCTAAGTCCACTCCTCACTAAGTCTCCTGAAGTTCTAATATATTAATCTGAATTTCGGAATTTATTTCTCTGGTAAGCTGACCTGTAATAGAGGTATTAAATGATCTCATTCAGCTGATCAATTTCTTGGAATGTAATTTATAGTTGCTATTTTGGTGATCTTAAAAGGAATTCAATTTCACTCCAATCAATATTCAGAAGGCAGACTGTGGTTCTTTTATGGCAACCAATTCATAACATCATCTTTAATGTTTTTTTAAGATAAAAATTCCCCTGGTTTATTTTTAGTCCTGGATTTAACTTCATTTTCTTATTTAAACTGCTGGTTACATTTAAAAAAAATCTATCTTTCAAAAGAAAAGTCATGGGGGGAAGGGACATGGGAATTATATGCTAATGAAGGAATTTTTTTTTCTTTTTCTCTTTGGAGGGGGATGTGAGCTGGTGAGGGTTGGGCAGGGAGAAAAGTGCGGCAATGAATGAATGGAAATCCAAAACCTCTGTAAATGTCTATTAAAATTAAAAATAATAATAAAAAAAGAAAAATCAGAGGTATATGCATACATCCGTATAAAATTTTATTATGGTAATCCTTCTAGTCAAAGAGAGTATAAGAAGGTAAGTCCTCTAGTTTTGTACAATGGAATGCTGCTTTGGATTCTGGTGGTACAGCAGATGACATGTCAAGCTGCAAACCAAAGGGTGGGCATCTGAATCCACCAGCCACTCCACAGGAGAAAGATGGGCATTTGCCTTTAGTAAAGAGTTATTTCCTTACATAAGGTCACTATGAATAGAAATTGGCAGAGTTCTGGTGGGGTAGCGTACTGTTCAAACCCACCAACCACTCCACAAGAGAAAGATCATGCAGTCTACCTGTAAAAATTGTACTCTTGGAAACCCTACATCAGTTCTCTTGCCATATTCCACTGCAGAGAATATGTTGTTGTTGTTGTTATGTGCCATCGAGTCGTTTGGGACTCATAGCGACCCTATGTACAACAGCCCTAAACCCTGCTCTATCCTGTGCCAATTGCATTGCCTCTGACACACCCATCCTGATTACCTCAGTCACTGAATCAATCCACCTCATAGAGGGTCTTCCCCTTCTGTGCTATCCCTCTACTCTACCCAGCATGAGGTCCCTCTCCAAAGACCTATCTCTCCTTGCAACACGTCCAAAGTATGTCAGACGAAGCCCCAGAATCTTTGCCTCCAAGGAGTAGCCTGGTTTAACCCTCTCCTGGATGAATCTGCTTGTTTTCTTGGCAGTCCATGGTACATTCAATAAATACTCTTCTCCAGCACCACAGCTCAAAGTGTCAATTCTCCTTCTGTCCTCCCTAGTCATTGTGCAGCTCTCTGATGCATAACAAGTGATTGCAAAGACCATGGCCTGTATCAGGCGCACCTTCGTCTCCAAAGAGACAAGGTTGTTCTTGAGTACTTTAGAGAGGTCCCTAACAGCAGATTTTCCCATCGCAATATGTTTTTTGATTTCCTGGCTGCTGGTGCCAAGAGTGTTGACTGTGGAGCCAAGCAAACTGAAGCTGTGAACAATCTCAATCTCTTCGCCATCCATCCTGATGCTACCAATTGGTCCAGTGGTGAGAATCTTTGTCTTCTTGACATTAAGCCTCAGTCCATATTGAAGGCTGCAGTTCTTGACCCTCTGCAGTAAGTGTATGAGGTCCTCCTCAGTTTCAGTGAGCAAAATTTTATCATCTGCATAACGCAGATTGTTGATAGATCGTCCACCAGTCCTAACGCCACGCTTCTCCTCATAGAGCCCAGCCTCTCAGATTATCTGCTCTGCATACAGGTTGAAAAGGTATGGATATAGGACACATCCCTGGCATACACCCTTCCCAATTTTGGACCATGCAGTGTTGCCCTGCTCTGTTCTGACGACTGCCTCTTGGTACAAGTATAGGTTTCACACTAGCACGATTAAATGTTCTGGGATTCCCATTCTTCTCAGAGTCAGCCACAGTTTGTTATGATCCACGCAGTCAAATGCCTTTGCATAATTAATCAAACACAGATAGACATTCTTCTGGTATTCTCTGCTTTCAGCCAAGATTCATCTAACATCGGCTACATATCCCTAGTACCACGTCCCCTTCTAAACCCAGCCTGGATTTCTGGCAGCTCTCTGCTGATGTACTGTTCCAGTCGTTTTTTAATAATCTTCAGTAGAATCTTGCTTGCATGTGAAATCAATGCTGTTGTTCTGTAGTTTCCACACTCAGTTGGGTCACCCTTCTTCGGAATGGGAACAAATATAGATCTCTTCCAGTCAGTTGGCCAAGTAGTTGTTCTCCAGATTTCTTGGCACAGCTTCTTGAGCACGTCCAGGGCAGCATCTGTTAGCTGAAATATGTCAACTGATATACCATCTATTCCGGGGGACTTATATTTTGCTATTTCCTTCAAAGCAATTTGAACTTCTGCTGTCATCACCATAGGCTCTTGCTCAAATGTTATTTCATTATTCTTCTGCATCTGCCAATTCCTTTCTATACAATGACTCAGTATATTCCTTTCATCTTCTTTTGATACCTCCTGGATCATTTAATATTCTGCCCAAAGCATTCTTGACTGTAGCAACTCGAGGTTTGAATTTGTTTTTCAGTTCCTTGAGCTTAAGAAATGCTGAACAAGTTCGGCCCTTTTGATTTTCCGACTCTAGCTCCTCGCACATTTCATTGTAATATTTTGCTTTATCATTCCGTGTTGCCTTTTGGAATCTTCTGTTCAGCTCTTTAGTCTCTTGCATCCTTCCTTGTGCTTTGGCTTCTCTACGTTCCAGTGCAATCTTCAGAGAATATACTCCAAAGAAATTAGAACTGAGACACAGAGATTTATATACCAATGTTCATAGAAGTGTTATTTCCACAATCCCAGGATTAATGATAACCAGGATTAATTCCATGGCAATTTTTTTAATAAAAATTTATATTTTCACTTAAACTATAAGATACATTAAATAATGTTCAAGGGATCATCAGACACAAGAAAGGAAGTAAAAGACACAACATGTATAGATATTTATAATTTAGCTAAAATTGATAAAACGTTTTGCTTAGTGATCATGTATAAATGAGAAAAGATCTTAAGAAGCATATATTTTAATTGACAGTTTGAGTTTAGTTTGGTTAAATGATGAGAAATTATCAACATACATCAAAGTAGCAGAAAGGGAATTAAATGAATGTGAAATTGGGAGAACTGGCTGCAAAGAACCTCTTTAAAGAGTTAAAAAGCATGGATGTTAGTTTAAAGACTAAAGTGTACCTGATCTAAGGATGATATTTTCACGTGTTTCCTATGCATCTGAGAGCAGGACAATGAATAACAATTACATAAGTAGTGATACATTTGAATTATGCCATTTGGGAAGAGTGCTGAATACCTACTAGGTTACCAATAGAACAAACAAATCAGTCTTGGAAATGGTGCAACCAAGGTTCTCCATAGAGGCAAAGATGGTGAAACTTCATCTCACCTATGTTGATCATGTTGTCAGAAAGGGCCAGTCCTTGGAAAAAGATAACATGCTCGTAAAGGTGGTAGATCAGAGAAAGAG